TCCCGAGGACGCCCCGCAGACACGCCCCCCGGAGGACGCCCCCCAGACACAGCCCCCGAGGACGCCCCGCAGACACGCCCTCCGGAGGACGCCCCGCAGACACGCCCCCCGCAGGACGCCCCCCGACACACCCCCGGAGGACGCCCGGCAGACACGCCCTCTGGAGGATACTCCTCAGAAACTGCCCTCAGGAGGAGGCTCCCAGAAACGTTCCCCCCAGGATGCCCGCAGAAACGGCCCCCAGCTTGATGCCCGCAGGAACTGCCCGTAGAGGACGCCCACTGTAACGGTCGCCTTGAAGATGCCCACAGAAAGAGCCCCCTGGAGGACGCCAGTAGACGCGGCCACCTGAATGACGCCCGCAGGATCGCCCCCTGGCGGACGCCCGCATGATTGCCCCCTGGAGGACGGGCGCGGACGCGGCCCCCTGGCGGACGCCCACAGACGCGGCCCCCTGGCGGACGGGCGCGGACGCGGCCCCCTGGAGGACGCCCGGGGCAACTCCCGGCAGGCAGCGCGAGGCGCTCTTGCCCTGCAGCTGGCACTGGGAGCTGGGCACTGCGCCCGGCCGCTGCCATGCGTTCCCTCTGGACGCCTCAAGGTCGGCAGGTGGGAGCCGGGTCCTGCCCTCGGGCGGTCCTGCGCTCGCCAGGTGTGAGCCGCGCCCTGCCAGAGCCCTCCTGGGGCGCTGGCTGCCTTCCCTCCCCCACAGTAGCTGCTGCGCCCGTCCCCGCCGCCCCTGCCGCCCCTTGCGCGGCTCTCGTGCTCTGCCGTGCCCTGCCCGCGCCGTGCAGCCGCCGTGGCCCGCTACCACAGGGCCGTCCCGGCACGGGGCGGCCACGGCCTCCCTCGCCCCCTTGGAATGGGCGCTGGGGAAAGCCGGGGAAACCAAGTCACTGCAGGGCAGCAACCCTCGAAGGGCGAGGCAGCGGCACAGCTCCTGTTGGCCAGGAAGCGCGGGTCTGCCCCGCCTCCCGCCGCAGGGCAGGGCAGGGCAGGGCAGGGCAGGGCAGGGCAGGGCAGGGCGGGGCAGGGCGGGGCAGGGCGGGGCGGGGCCAAGCGGGCGCGGACAGAGGCCGGCTCTAGGGATGCTGCTCGCCCAAGGCCCATGGGGGCCACCAACGCCTGTGCAGTGGGCTGCACGGCTGCCGGGCTCGCTGGGGCGCATAGCAGAGACCGGCGGGAACACGCAGCGGCGCGTAGGGGAGAGCGGGGGGACACGCTGGGGCGCGTAGGGGAGAGCGGGGGGACACGCTGGGGCCCCTAGGGGAGAGCGGGGGGACACGCTGGGGGCGCGGTAGAGAAGCGGGACACGCTGGGGGCGTAGGGGAGAAGCGTGGGGAACGCTGGCGCGTTACGTGAGCGGGACACCTGCGGGGCGGCGTAGGGAGGCGGCACGCGGGCGCGTAGGGAGAGCGAGGGGAACACGTGGGGCGCGTAGGGAGAGCGGGGGGACACGCTGCGGGCCGTAGGGGGAGAAGCTGGGACACGCTGGGCGCGTACGAGAGCGGCGGCCGGGACACGTGGGCGCGTAGGGAGAGCGGACACGCTGGGCTAGGAGAGCGGGACACGCTGAGCGCGCGTAGGGCGAGGAGCGGACCCGCTGGGGCGCGTAGGGGGAGAGCGGGGACAACGGGCTGCGGGCGCGTAGGAGGGAGCGGGAACGCTGGGGCGCGTACGGGAGAGCGGGACACGCTGGGGGCGCGTAGGGGAGAGCGGGGGGGACACGCTGGGGCGCGGTAGGGAGAGCGGGACACCTGGGAGCGGTAGGAGACGCGGTGGGAACACGCTGGGCCGCGTACGGGGAGAGCGGGACACGCTGCGCGTAGGGAGAGCGGGGGTACGGGGGGACACGCTGGGCGCGCGTAGTGAGGCGGGGACACGATGGGCGCGACGGGGAGGAGGCGGGGGGGACACGCTGGGCGCGTAGAGGAGACGGGGGAACACGTCAGTTGGTGGGGCGTTAGGGAGAGCGGGAGCGACACGTGGGTTCACATTAG